AGAATTTCATGAAACAACATATGAGCAAGAGCCTATGGTGATGAAAGAAGAAGTTCAGGCTGCTTTGAAGGAAATGGCAAAAAATAAATCTCCAGAAATAGATGGTATACCAATTGACATATTTCAGCTAACAGATGCTGCCCTGGATGTGTCACCAAGTTGTGTCAGGAAATCTGGAGAACAACCACTTGGCCAACACTGGAAGAGATCTATATTTGTTCGCATCCCAAAGAAGGGTGACCCAACAGAGTGTGGAAACTATAGAACAATCTCATTGATTTCACATGCAAAGCAGGATTCTACTGAAGATTATCCAAAAACGACTGGAACAGCACAGCAGAGAACTGCCAGAAGTCTAGGCTGGGTTTAGAAGGGGTCATGGTACTAGGGATATTATAGCTGATATTAGATAGATCTTACCTGAAAGCAGAGAATACCAGAGGAATGTCTATCTGTGTTTCATTGACTATGCAAAGGCGTTTGACTGTGTGGACCATAACAAATTGTGGCTGACTCTGAGAAGAATGGGAATCCCAGAATACTTGATCGTTCTAATGTGAAACCTATACTTGGGCCAGGAGGCAGTCGTCAGAACAGAGCAAGGGAACACTGCATGGTTCAAAATTGGGAAGGGCGTACGCCAGGGATGCATCCTATCTCCATACCTTTTCAGCCTATATGCAGAACAGATTATCCGGGAGGCTGGGCTCTATGAGGAGAAATGTGGGGTCAAGATTGGTGGACGATTTATCAACAATCTGCGTCATGCAGATGACACTAGCCTGCTTACTGAGGAGGACCTGAAGCGCCTGCTGCAGAGGGTCAAGGACTGCAGCCTACAATATGGATTGAGGCTCAATGTCAAGAAGACAAAGATTCTCACCACTGGACCAATTGGCAGCATCAGGGTGGATGGTGAAGAGACTGAGATTGTTCACAGCTTCAGTTTGTTTGGCTCCACAATCAACACTCTTGGCACCAGCAGCCAGGACATTAAAAGGTACATTGCCATGGGAAAGTCTGCTGTTAGGGACCTCTCCAAAGTACTGAAGAGCAATGTTGTCTCTCTGGAGACTAAGGTGCGTGTGATATAGGCCATGGTCTTCACAATCACTTGTTATGCATCAGAGAGTTGGACAATGACCAGGAGGAGAGAAGGAGAATTGATGCCTTTGAGCTGTGGTGCTGGAGAAGAGTATTGAGAGTACCATGGACTACTAGGAGAACAAACAGATTTGTCCTGGAAAGGGTTAAACCGGGTGGCTCCTTGGAGGCAAGGATTCTGAAGCTCCGTCTAACATACTTTGGATTTTTGAGGAGAGACCGGTCCTTGGAGAAGGACATCATGCTTGAGAGGGTGGAGGGACAGCGCAGGAGAGGAAGGCCCTCTATGAGGTGAATTGACTCAGTGACTGGGATAATCGGGATGGGAGTGTCGGGGACAGTGCGATTGGCACAGGTCAGAGCAGAGTTTAGGGCTGTTGTACATAGGGTCGCTATGAGTTGCAGGCAACTCCACGGCACATAACAACAACAATATATTCCACATACATTCTAGAATAATGCCTCCCAACAGAAATCTAAAGCTGCATATAATTTTAAATCTCCAAGTAACCATGTGGAGAAAAAAAAGGGGATTTAATTTTAATTGGAGCTCTGGTGGCCTAGTGGCAAGAAGCTGCTCTGCAATCCTGAAGGCATGTGGTTCGAATCCCATCAGCCACTCTGAGGGAAAAGGATGGGCAATCTCCTCCTTTGCTATTAATTTCCTCTGCAAACCCTCTGGAGGGTCAGTTACAGGTTGGCTCCATCTCGATAGTCAACAACAACAACAATTTAATTTTAATGGATTTTATTTGACTCATCTGAAATACAGTCCTATCAGTATACAAAAATCAATATGAAAGTAATGAAGGTGCTAACTCCATGCTTTTTTCCTACCAGTTTTTTCACAGAAATCTCAAGTGCATGTTACACTCAACAGCACATCTCAGTTCTGACTGGGTACATTTCTAGTGCTCAGTCATCATGTTGGGGGGTATAGTCTAGAAAACAGAAAATGAGGGAGGACTGGAGGCTCTCCCATCTCTACCAAGGTGGAGTCGATCACAAGCCCAAAGTTCTGACTGACTGCTCTGACTTCTACATCAGCTTCGTGTGTGATGTTCATCATAACGCTGCAAGGGGTGTGGCCACACCAGGACATTTGATCTGGCTTCTCATCTCACAGCTTTTTTCTTTTGTTTTTTTGGGTGTTTTTATTTTTTATTAGCTAGACTCTAAACTTTATTCAGATTCTGTTAGATTTAACCTCATATTGTTTTTCCATTCCAGGATCCCACCCAGGTCCCATATTACATTTAGTCATCATATCTCCTTAGGTTACTCTAGACTGGCAGTTCTCCAACTTTTCTTGGTTTTGATGACCTTGACAGTATGGTTTTTAAAAATTGTGCTAAATTATATATATGTTGTTTTTCAGTCTCGTCACATTGGCGCCAACTCATTTGATCCCTTGTGAAACAGAATGAAACCCTTTCCCAAACCTGCACCATCCCGCACTCAGCTGTGCTTTTAAGTGCATTGCTGCATCATGCACAGGTTGCTGTGTCCATGCATCTCCTTGAGGAACTTCCTCTCACCCACTGACCCTCTGCCTCTCCAAGCATGAGGTCTCTCTCCAGGGACTGGCCTCTGCTGATAGCATGCCCAAAGTGTGTGAGATGCAGCCTTAACCCACCTTCTGTTTTTGTTGTTTTTTTTTTAATTAATTGAGATTGTAATGAAAGTTTATAAAGAACTTGGATTTTCATTCATTCATTGTTGCATCTTTTCCTTCATGCCCCTCTCCCCCCTAGTTTGCTTTTTTTTTTAAAAAAAAGTTATTGTGTTGTTATACAGTACCCCCCAGACCACTTTACTATGCAGCTGTTAATTCAGGACTCTTGTCATGCCAGTAATAACTTAATCATATATTCCTTTCATACAGTTCTCTCCCTCGTCTGTTTCAATACCGTGTACATTATCTATCCCCTCTTTTC